TTGTAATCACTTTGTAATCACTTTGTAATCACTTTGTAATCACTTTGTAATCACTTTGTAATCACTTTGTAATCACTTTGTAATCACTTTGTAATCACTTTGTAATCACTTTGTAATCACTTTGTAATCACTTTGTAATCACTTTGTAATCACTTTATAATCACTTTGTAATCACTTTGTAATCACTTTGTAATCACTTTGTAATCACTTTGTAATCACTTTGTAATCACTTTGTAATCACTTTGTAATCACTTTGTAATCACTTTGTAATCACTTTGTAATCACTTTGTAATCACTTTGTAATCACTTTGAAATCACTTTGTAATCACTTAAATCGCATATATGCGTCAAATACAGAGCAAGTCAAAACTCATTATCTTGCACGAACTTGTCCACGCCTATTGACTTGCTGAGTTTTCATCTTGTACGAATTTGTGCATGCTTATCGACTTGTTGAGTTTTGTAAAAATAAAACAATTAAACTTCTTACTAAAATATTAGTCATTCTTATAACTACTTGGTACACGTAACACAACTTATACAGTATCTTGAAAGTTTCAAATAAGAATTTGTGTTAATTAATAGGGGTCGATTTTTAGACCTCGTCGACCCCCAGAATCAGTTTTCGTTTAAGTCGACCCCTGGAAAACCGATTTCGACCCCAAGGGTAACAAATTTTCTTTTCTAGTAAGTTAAATTTAATGTGTAATTATTGTTGTTTGTAAGTCATGATTTATAACTGTAAAATTTTATATTATAGAAATTTGCAATAAAATTAACTACACTGCGTAAGATACGGGTTGTGACTACTTTACAATAAATATTATATTTAAAAATAAATACATTATTTTACTTGCACTAGGAGCTTTAAAAAGAGTATGAATTGTTTCCTCCTTGTGTTTTCTTTAGTTTTACATCCGATTATATCCCGTTTTACAACCTGGAACGAAGTAAATCTTGCTTTGATGTTTTTTGTCATTCATATTATGTACTTGTAATCAGGTACTTTTTTCACATTATTTTGATTTTGTTCACCAATTAAAAAAACACTTTATTTCACATTGACTTACATAGAAAATAAACGTCAACTACAGTCAATTTGGCGAATTTTATAAAAAGAAGGACGGAAATTTGAAATTTGATCATTGCCGATTCGCCTTCTTCTCTCCAGTCTTCATACTTAATACAATTATTTTTAACATTAAAATTTAAAATATATAGTATACAGGACATATTTATTAAGTTTGTTAACTTCTAACAATGTAATCCTTATAACTATTTTTTTAACAGTAAACCTACTTTGCAATTTTACTAATATAAATTTTAGAAGACCTAATGGACTGGAAACATCACGTATGGAACCAAATTCTGATTTAATCTCTCCTATATGGCACGGTCATGATAATGTTCTAAATGATATAAATCCAAAAGATCCAAAATCCGAAAAAATGTAAAGTCATTCTAACCGAAAAGGTTTGGCGTTTTTGATTCGACACCAGCGAACAAAAAAATCCACCAAACACCTGTAAGAATCCTTTTATATAACGTGAAAGTAGATTTAAGATTTATCATAATTCATATACCTGAGGTAAGCGATGCAGACGAATTTTTTTTATATAAAGACGCGAATAAAGGGGCCTTAATCGTGCTCAAACAATCGTCGAGAAGATTCAGAATTTCTTTCCCAGGGTTGTTTCGGACGACAAGAAAGGAACTAGCGAAGACTTACAACTTATGAGGTGTGGGTTTCGTTTGCCATCAGTGGACGGGGACTGGTTGGATTGGAATTGACAAAGAAAGGCTTCTTGTCGCTTTTGCTTATTAACACATTTTCGGGGGTGAAACGAAACGCTGGGGCATCCGGATTATTTTTGTATAAACATTGCAGGTTCTTCTATATAGTGTAAGAGTTGCAAACAAAATATACGCAAGAATTATATTCTCAACAAAATACATTTTTTTATTAATTCATAGGTACCTAAGAATACGTAATGTCATGTTTTGACTTTTGCTTTAAAAAATAATTATTTTGCATATTATTTAAAAAAAAAACTATTTACCTAGGAGGCCTAACCACTATGTTGGAAATTTTTATCATTCTATTTCCAATATTTATTAGCAAAACTTTCTGTTCGAAAGGGAAACGCTATTTTTAAATTTTTAGTTATTGATATTTCGACTACTATATAAGTTAATTTTATAACGCATCGAAGTACCTAAAAATTCAAGGTATGCAGTACGGAAATAAAGAGGTGATTTAATTTAATAATAAAAATATTAATATGTAAAAGACAATCAAAAAAATTAATTGATAATTTATAATGATATATTTAAAATTAGCTTACCAAGATTGTTTTAACAAACATAAGCAGGTACCTACTACAAACAAACCCATTTACATATTATTTATTTTCACTAGTATTTTTTGTTAAGTAAATACTATGTTGGAAAATAATGGTCTGATATTTGCTTGAAAGGAAAATATTTTATTCAATGGTAAACTGACAATAATAAACTGGGCATTAAAATAAATCAATAAATACTAAATATCTTAATACGGTGTAACCACAGATTACCCACCAGATCCTAAAGTTTACAAAGAATATAAAAAAAAGAGAGATGCATGGTCATAATAATTTGAAGCTCCTTCGTAGAAACTCGTTTCTACTCGATCGACTTCGGAAAGCCAAAGTTAATTCTTTAAGCAAAGTTACCCATTCTCTTAGGTTTACACTAAGTTTTGTTACTTTAGACATCATCAAAATGATAAATGAAGAACTGTTCAAATATGTTTAATTCAAAATTGCTGATTTCATACAGTTTGAATTGACAATGCCAATAATTTTGAAAAATTAAAATTTATGCTTTTTTAGGGATATTGTATTTCATCCTGTTTACTAAATCTAGAAAGAAAGAGTATTAGGGTAGAATTACCTACATAGAGTTTAAGCGCACCTATTGAAATGGATATACCTAATAAATATTATTGCCCAGCAGTTTCCCAATTAGGTAGAAGACAAATTTAACAATATAAAATTAACTAAGAAAATACACAAGATAAGTAAATAAAAAATTATAATAAAAGTAGAAAAGTAGTAGAAAAGTAGTAGAAAAGTAGTAGAAAAGTAGTAGAAAAGTAGTAGAAAAGTAGTAGAAAAGTAGTAGAAAAGTAGTAGAAAAGTAGTAGAAAAGTAGTAGAAAAGTAGTAGAAAAGTAGTAGAAAAGTAGTAGAAAAGTAGTAGAAAAGTAGTAGAAAAGTAGTAGAAAAGTAGTAGAAAAGTAGTAGAAAAGTAGTAGAAAAGTAGTAGAAAAGTAGTAGAAAATTACCTAGTAGAAAAGTAGAAAATAGTGGAAAATTAATATGAATTCAAAGATAAGCTCTTGATTTGTTTTTTAATTTACACACACTACTACAGAAAATATCACAAATATCTGAAAATTTGTTTGCATTACTACACATTAAGGTAATTGGCGCTTTTGACAAATAAATCTATTTTGATATAAGAATATAGGTATCTACCGAGGAGTAAATCACTCCCGAAATACTGGTAGGTACATTTTCACTCGAAATCCTCGGAATCATTACGAAGATTCCGAAAAATCATCATCGATAATAATGGTCGAAATCATCGCCGAAATCAATTTGTAGGTAGCTCAAAAACAAAAATTCAGCAGCTTTGTGGATCAAAAGACAAGGCAATAGTAAAAAAATAATCTAAAATTAAGATGGATTTTTCAGTGAAATCACCGAATTCGCAAAAAAAAATTCCGAAATACGGGTAGGTTTGACCTTAGTGGTTTCCCCTCGATAGGTAGGTATACCTACCTATCTAGAGTAGGTACCTAAAATTAATTAGGTATGTAGGTAACTAACAAACAAATACAGAACCACATTTTAAAATGTGTACCTACATCATATTTTTTAAATTACGTAAGTTTTATGCAATATATGTGCTCTTGCTTGCTTACAACTTTATCAAAATATTTGTTAAGTAATCAAGATATTTTCGAATTACGAATAAAACTTTGATAAGAACATTCAAAAATTAGATAAGCGAACTGGGTCAACGTCCCTTTAGTTTCTATGTTCAAAAAATCGCATTTTTTAAAGCAATTGTAAACAACATACAATTTTTCTACATTTTATGTGGAATTGATTAAAATAAAAAAGCATGTTTCACAACAAAAAACCTTATCAATTGTATTTATCCAAAATATATTGGAGCTTATCTCGCCATCTTACGGTATAAGACAGAATTGCCTTGTGTTTCTCATTTTATAAATAGATGGCAGCAATCTTTCTAAATTCCATTACTACAGAATCGATGGAAAACTGTATAATCTTTTTTACTAAAAAAATCTACTTTTAATTACTCGTTATTTACGCTATTTACATCTAGAGGACGATAAGCGTTGTAAGTAGCTTAAATACATTTTTATTAATTCAATCATTGACCCAATATCTGCAGAGATCAATTGTTAACAATAAATAGCTTCATTCGCGGATCCGATCCCGAAGATATTCTGAACTCTAAGGTAGACCATACACGCCTGCATAAACATTTAAACAATACAAATCCATTTATAATATTATGCAGCGTAATTTTTACCTTAGCCTTCGGAACCAGTACAGGATTGTTATATACCGCGAACGAAGGTATTATCCGATTCTTAAAAAAAAACTTTCAGAATCATTACAGAAATTTGCTTTAGTTCTGTTAATTTCACGACCTTTTAGTAGATGGCAGTATCTATTGAGCGAATTAAAATAATACATGTGTATGTTTAGCATAGTGTAAGCGCAGATAGCTGAATATTTAGATTACAATTATAATTTTTGGAATTTTTTTCTACTAAACCAAAACAGTTCTGTTACAAATTATTGTTTAAACATGTGATTCAATCATTTTCATTAAACGAATTGCCCTGCCACCTATTAAATATATAACGAAATATTTTAGTTTATAGTCCTTTTGGTAGATGGCAAAACTACATTTCGATACACCCTATACTTATTTCTGACGTCACAGATCACCTCATTGTAATCTGCCTTTTGATTCGTCGATTAAAATGTCATGATTATTCGATTTTTCCAATGATTTAGTTTTGTAATTTTGTAAACAGAAAAAAAGAAAAATTATATAGGAATGGACGAAGATTTACCGAATTTTTCGTCTCAAGACGATTTCAGTCAAATTCCCGATCTCTCTGGAATAGATGGTAAGCAACCCAAGTCAATAAACTATAAATATAAATATTTACCTTTAAAAATTTCTTGTAGACCTATTAAACCACTGTGAAAATGATTTATTATTGAAAAGTGAATTATTCGGGGACGAGTCTTTGTTGGACATCGAGGATAATGTTTTAATGGATTTTTCTGACTTGCAGTCGAATAATAGTGTAACAGATCAAGATTATTTACCCTCTTTTAGTAGTAAATCCCTATTCGAACCTCCTATCTATTCCAGCCCTCCTCTAATAGAAAACAATGTTAAATTTACCAATATATCTCCAAAACCTGAACCTATCCTACCAGACGTTCAAAATATACAAAATATTCAAATTAAAAACGTTTCCCTTCCTGTCCAAACTTCTAGTCCCATTATTATATCCTCTTCCAATAATCTGCATACAAGGCAGCCGTCTGTAATTTACACAACCGTGCCTATTCAGAACCAGCATATCATTTTGCAACAACAGGGGAATAAAAGGGGTAGCAGCAAAAATAATGGCCCTGTTTTGGTGCAGAATATACAGCAGATTCCTGTTGAGCAAATGCAACCAGTTGTTTTGCAAGCTAAGATTATCAAGACTGATGCACAGGTTAGTCTTTTAGATATAAAACATTTTGTATAGGGTTATTGAATTTTTCATAACATTGCTGTTCTTATATTTCTCCAAATTTATGAATGAATGAATGAATGCTTTATTTATAGAATTTCCTAATATACAAACATCAATATTTGAGATGATCTGAATTAAATAAGTAATATCATAGTAAATAGTAATTAGGGACAATATTTTTAAAATATAAGTTATATATATAAAAAAAATAAAAGATATATTAAAACTACAGTACCTATACAACTTGTTAAATGTTATCAGGCTGGATGTATTTTGTTAGCGCTCTCTTGAAACCGTTAATATTACTAATAGACTTTAGGTATATTGGAAGTTTGTTATATTCGTTTAACCCTTTATAAAAAGTATTTTCATTGATCTTGATAGTTTACATCCTGGTAGATAAAATTTATCGTTTTGTCCCGTATCATAGAAATGAGTGTCACCCTGGTAAGTAATAAATTCTGAAAAATAAATTATTAATAATTTTGAATATAAAAATCATTGCCATTCTAAACAACCTGGTCACAGATGGAAATCCATTGCAATGCATTAAGCATAGTGGAAATACTACATACAGTACTGATTATATCATAAAATAACCCTGATGCCTCGATTTTGTAACTTTTGTAGAGCCATAATTTTATTTGGATCTAAGCCATAGAGCAATGTGCTGCAGAAATCGAAATGTGGCTGTATTATTACATTGTATACAGTGACTTTGGCAGCAGTACTAAGGTGGATAGAAATTCTACTAAAAAAGTAGTTTTTTTACTATTTTCTTAACAATATAGTCGTGATGTGCAGCGAAAGATAGATTATTGTCCACTATAAAACCTAAGTAGTACTTAAACTCTGTTTCAAACTCAATCTGTTTATTTTTTATTACATAATACATTGTTGTCTTTGCAATTTGATTGCAAATTTGTGAAAAACATATATTGCCCCTCCCAAAAACTGAAAATCCTATTGAGTACAAAAATCAGGGACCAATAAGTATATTGTGAGGGATGAACTACTCCCACAATACATGTACCAAATGTCCACAATCCCATTGAAAATCGCCGCAGTCCCATCATAATTAGTGGCAATCAATAAAAAATCTTCGCACTCATTCCAAATTCCCTAGCAGTCTTCCCCAATTCTCCTTCAGTTGCTGAGCAATCACTAGCAATCCTTAAAAATCATGTGCCATTTAAGCCATTTTGTGTAAAATTAAACAAATTTCAGTCTACATTTATTGAAAGTGTCGTTCAGGATTCCAGTATTTTCAAGACTTTTTTAGAATAAAAATTAGGCAACAAATCCTATTTTTATGAGAAAGTTAGAGTCTATTCTTAAAGTAATGCCATTGAGATAGTATTATAAAGAGGCGCTATAAGTATTATTTTGCACAGAGATAAAACGTCGCACTAGGCATGGCTTATAGTCACAACAATATGGATGCCTCGCCAGGTGCTGACTCTCTAAAATTATAAGAATTTTAATATATTTTTTTTTAACTAGAGTCATATGAATAGGGAATGCATTTTTTAAAAATTAAATTAAAAAAAAAATAAGTTTATAAAAATCTTATTACTGTGATGCCTTATGCACTTAGATTTATTTGATTTTTAATTGGCAAAATAATATAGCCTAACATTTACGTACTTATCTGCCACAGCTTTTAGTAACATAAAATAATGCCAAATAGATCATACAATGTTGATTAAACTGGTATATTCCCAGTTGCAAGAAGCCTAAATAAAATAATGGCAACAAATTGGTTCATTATCTTCCACAGAATGAGGAAAATTATTAATAGTTAAGATCTGCATGGGCGCTGGTGGTTCATATACATATATCACCAATGCTCATTTTCAAAAGGAAAAGATTATACCCTGAGCTGCTTGACAGTACTCATCCAGGAACATGGGCGGAATGTAATGAAACAGGATGGATATAAGCTGAAATATTTCAAAAATGATTTGAGAAATTTATTATTTGGTCACGAGCGTCCAAAAACAATCTAGTCTTACTAATTTTAGATGGTCACTCGATACACACTTATAGAAACAGCAAGAGAAAATAAAATTATCCTCCTGTTCTTCCCACCTTACTCTCTTCACAGGCTACAGCTGTTAGATGTAGGTCTTATGCGACCTCTTAGTGCATCAGAATGTGATCATACAGATAAAACTGCTATAGTCCAAAGTTTTAGAAAAGTAATACTGCATCCAGAGCTCTCAAGTACAATTGACACAAGTTTTCATTAAGACTGATATCAAGAGAAGTTTAGCGAAAGAGAACCAGTTATCAAAGTAAAAAAAAAAGAAAATAAATATTGTGTCATAGTGATAATGAAAAACCCAGCACAAAACCTGCCAAGAAGAAGCATAATAATAAAAAATTATGAGAAAACTAAATCTCAATATCCAGAAAGCTTAGATAGTGACACCTCAGATGTTAAGTGTTAATATTGTGGATACTGGTATACCCTATCAGACAAAGAATCATGCAAACAATGGACTCACGAAGAATCAAGACATATTTGTGAGTTTTGTAAGCATTTTATTCCTAGTCTGTGTCCAATCTGCCCTATACGCCGAGGCATTTCTCATCCCGCATTTGATTTCTACTTTATCTTAAAAAACAACGCTTTTTCCAAGTAGATTTGGTAAGGATCCCAATATGCCCTGGTTTCCCTTAGGGAACATCATTTATTATTTCTTAAATGAACATAATATGTTGATGTTCGGTCGATGTAGTGCTCAAAAAAATGCTTTGAACACAGAACACCTTAATGTTTTGTAGGTTCTACTTACAAAGTGCAACCAGACATTCTGACGTGATTTAGGAAATCTGAAAGGAAAACATTTGTTATTTAGGTTTCTTGTTTTATTTAAAATATGTAACAGTTTCATATACGGTTTCCTGCCATTTTTGTGTAATATGGGAAAAATTAAACTTTCATAGCTTAAAATGGAATTTCTAAACAATAATAAAGTAACAGAAAACCGTAACTATATTAAACAATTACCTTAAAATATTTTATTATGCTGAAACTATTTAAATAAGCAAAATATAAAAATAAATGTTTGAAATACTACGACAATTAAAACAATACTATTACAGAGAATACATATCACATTCATTAAATAGTAATAAAATCCTAAAAAATAAATTAATTTAAAATATTGTCATCGTAGAGTCAAAACCTCGTATCATAAAATTACCAGGTTTTTAGGAAACACTAAAAACTTTTTTTTCTGTAGGTAATTTTTTAAAGTATCTTTTTTATGTAATAGAAAAAAGCAAGTCAAAAAGATGCCAAATGGTTAAAGATTTAAAAAATTACATTCAGTTACACCAAAATATGAGTTAAGAGTTTTTGTCTCTACAAAGACGATATATAATGGTTAGAAAATTCTACATTTAGTCTATTAGCACATCTTGTCACTCTAGGAATAAAAGAATGAGAACCCTAATTTGTTATATGGAAAGGTTGGGAGAATGTATTAGTATTCCTAGTTACTCTAGAGCAGGGGTGCCCAACATATGGCCCGCTGGCCGAATGCGGCCCTCCAGTGGCGTTTTTGGGGCCCGTTGGTCATTGACCAATTTAGCCCGCCTACATCAAATTATATTTTTCAATGTAACAAACTTGCATTTAGGCTGACCTTTTTTTAGTAAAGCTCGGCAGAATTATAACGTGAATACGTTGTTTTTAAAAGCTAGACCAGCAGGAGTTGGTTTATAAATGAAAGGGGAAAAGATCTTTTTTTTAGTAATCTGAACCGATCATTGTAGGCCCAGGCCTCTCTTGGCGGCCCTCGTACCATTACGGTTTTTCAAATCTGGCCCTTTGAAAATCTGAGTTGTGCAGGCCTGCTCTAGAGGGTACAGAAAATCCAATTTGGGATAGCAAGTAGAGACAATCGGCAGATGAGTTAATAATGTTAAACAATATTTTAGATCCCTTTGATTTCTTGTGCTCATGAGGGTCTTAACAAAGTGTGTAATTCGTCATAATTGTATCTGAAGTTGCCGGGAACGATACCCGATTTAAATGCAACAATGTGTAAAAATTTTCGTTGAACCTGTTCTATATTATAGAAAGGATTATAAAAAGGATTCCATACAGCAGAAGCCTATTCAATATAAGGTCTAACTAAGGCACAATAAAGAATCTTTAAATACATCACATATTATGAAAATCAGAAGTAGTAGTTCTTCTAAGGAAACCCAACATTCTTAATGCTTTATAGGCCGTTATATGAGTTTAAAAAGAAAGGGTGGAATCTAGTATATTTTTTCTACGACCCACTAATGAAAATCTACAAAATTTTAAAAATTAATTTGGAGATTATTAAGATAAAATAACTATTTTAAAAATAATTGATGAACTTTTATTCATTTATTAAATAAAATTACCTTTGAAAAACAATAAAAAGATTTTTAATTAGTATTCTTCCTGGATTTGAATATGATAAATCAAACAATGAAAATCCTCTTTTTCCAACACACGCCAATCAAAACAAACTGCATTCGAAAGCACTGAGTGTCCCAGTGTTTTTACTCAATCCTGCAAAATGTCAATTTAAATATTGTCAAAAACGTGATGAAAAATAAACAAAAATCGTTTTGGTTGTGTAAACATTAATATTAATTTTGTAAACAAATAAAATTAACGTTAAATTGTACTAAAAGATCTGTTTATATTATTAAATGATCTTTCCAAATACCATGCAAAGTGAGAATTTTTTTGAGAACATTTTGTTGTTTCTTTGGAAATTATGCGAATTTCATTCAACAAAATCCTCCCGAAATATCACGAGACGTTAGCCAAGTTTCCTTGGTATAAAACTTTATAATATCGTCGGCTTACTGCCAAAAGTGACCAAGTCAAAAAAACCTCATTTTTGTTTTTATCGACCAAATGACTTAAAACTATTTACTCTATATCTGACTAAGCTAGTAACTAATTTAAAAAAAGTTTGGGTATTTATTTATTTATTTATTTATTTATTTATTTACGGGTCAGAGCCCATTAAAACAATACAATTACAGATAATACATATTACATACATTAAATAGTAATAAAATCCTAAATAATAATAATAAATTAATTTAAATACATAAATATTAAAAACAATTAAAAATTACTCCTCACATATACATAAATGGATAGAAAAATCTGATGGAGAAGTAATCCATAACATTTGATTTTAGGTCACTAGTTTAAACTAGTTGGGTTGTTTAACTAGTTTAAAATTGTTTATATCAAAAGTTTGTTTGTCTGACTTGGTCAATTTTGGCAGTAAGCCGACGAATTATGCTTCCATCAAAATTTAAGGATATTGGAAATAAAAAAAAGTTTAAACATTTTCTTATTGGGATGTGTCCATACTTTATTCAAGAGTACTATGGTAAAAGTAAAAAATAATATATGTAATTTTTCCTAAACTGCGACATTCGCTGTTCTATAACAGTGATGCCCATACTTTTTTCTATGAAGATTTACCAACCAAAAATCTATAACTAGGAGATCGACACCTTGTACCAAAAGTTTGTAATACCTCAAGACCAGTGTTGGAATGGGACCTCCAGGGCCTATCATCTATTAATTAAAAAGTCCTCTTTGTACAATGATGCTTTTTCCGAAGTTGTCACGTATTATGGGGTTTCTTCGCATTTGATTCTTTGTTCTTCTTAAGGGCTCACTGCCTGAACGAGCGAATGATGACAAACGGACAATATAGGATCTTCGACGATCGACCTAAAGGCTTCTCGCGATCGACAGTATGGGTACCACTGGTCTATAGTTTTATATGTAGTTTTGACTCCATATACACTCATACAACAATTGCTTTTAGCTTGGTTTGTCTTATTTTTTTGTTGGTTAAATCTGTAATATTTTAATATTATTAAATATGCCGAAATATTAAACATTTCAGGTACTATCTCCAACAGTAATGTACACAACGACCGTATCAAATACGACATCACAACCTTTCCAAACTCTTATAAATACGAATGGTATCCTGACAACTGGAATTCCATTGATGCTAGATGCGGACCATAAGATGGCCATTAACCGTGTACAACCGCTAAAAGAACCCAAAGTTAAAGAAGTGAAAAGGAGCGCCCACAATGCCATCGAAAGGAAATATAGGACGAGCATTAACGATAAAATCATCGAATTGAAGAATATGATTGTCGGCGAAGATGCTAAGGTAAGAATTGTTTGATGGATTTATTTATAAAACATTATTTGGCCATATCAATCAAGGAATTTGTTGAAGTTCCTTCAATATAATAAATTTAGATCTGAACACAGAACAAATATTTAAATTTAAACAATTTGAATTTAGACATAATATCTGGCATGCATAGATTTATTGAGGTCATTGCACAATTCACGTCCCGAGTCATGTGGATAGTTTCTTTCAAAGCGATTGAGCTGACGCGTCGGTGCAAGTCACGCGTCTTTGTTTGCCAATTCTCCTCTAACGGAAATCAGAAGATCTTTCTCTCTCGACGGTATATCTGTAAACCGTTTAAAAAAAATTTCGTTTCAACCAAGGCGTCAGGTCGCCATGTTAACTTTAGTATAATCATTTTAAAAACGTTGAAATGCTGGAAAAGGTGTGATTAGTGCTACTAAGTATAGTATGTAAAGTCATGTATTTCGTTTTGTGATGTACGATGATTTCTCAAAATTAAATGGTGTTAATTGTTGCCGGCTTTTTATTTTACATCAATGAAGGAAACCCAGCAATTTATAGTTAAATAGTCTATTATAGTCGAAGGAATTATATAATTATTTGCTGACCTTTTTTCTAAAACATACAGTGACATTAAGGTGCATTTAGTCAGTCTGATTTAGTTTTAAGCCTAAACATAGAAAGTAACATAAAAGTTAAATTCAATTCATTTCAATGCACACCTGTTTATACTTAATAACAAGCATGTAAAATCCAACTTACTGCTTAAATTTATGTCATAAATACAATTGCGCATGGGCGTTTAAAAAGTGAGGTTAAACTATTGTCCTAACTTTAAACTTTGAAATTCTAAATTCTTTTTATACATCTTTTTATTGATGATAATTGTGAGATTGTTAGCAGAGCATTTTCAGAAGTAGCTACCATATGTCTTGTTTTCATTTTTAGGAGCAAACTGAACACCTTGAAAATTTAGAATTCCTTCCGAGCTTTTACTGTACGTGTACGTCGACTGATTACCTCGAAATCAATTTGAGTTTGATTCGGACGCACTCATTTAGCTTAGCATACTGTAGACTATCAAGTAAAATGAGGTTAGAATAATGTGTGTTATAATTAAGTCGTAAAATGTCGTCCAAATTTTTTTTCTGAAGAGGATGAAATATTAATTGATTTGGTAAAGGAGCATCTCACACTTTATCAAGTGAAAATCGGAAGTTGCACAGAATATAGTTAAAAATAATGCTTTATTTTGGTCATTACTACTTAAAAATTAACAATTCTTCTTCCATTAAAATAATCACTACTTTCGCATTATTTAATTCATTGAAACTAATTTTCACCTGCATGTATCAAGAGAAGAAGTTGAACTGATTTATATTTGCTTCGTTCGCGGTAACAATCCTGAACTGATTCAGAATTACTAATTCATACTTTGAGCACATTCCCGAATCATTATCAATTCTGAATTTTTACCGCACGCGCAATCCCCATTATATTTCGGTGTTTCAGGTATAGACAAGCGGTTCAAAACCAATAATTATTTTACCTCGGACGCAGGATAGAACCAATAGTTCAGTTCTTTTTGTTCCGCGAACGCTTTTTAACTACTGCGCCTGCGAAATCGTTACTGTTAGTAATAAATCGATTCAGGATTCTTACCGCGAACAAAGCTATTGTAACAAACCACTTCTACTAAAACTGACGTGAGTCTAACTCGATAGATTCTGCCGTACCCGAGCGTCGCGCGCTGTCCTAACAAACCGTAGCTTTAGGGTAGAGAAACCTTGATTTATTTGTAAACCACAAAAAAGTATTAATTTTGATCATTTTTAAAAGGAATTAAAAATTTTTCTTGTTTTAATATCTAGTAGTTTTTTAAACGGGATGGTTTCCAACCTTATTTTCTTAAATGTCCCTGTAAAATGCTGCCTTATCGTTGCACAAATTTAAAGCTATATATTATCGAGACATAAATAACATCACGAAGTAGAAAATCCTAACCATCATTTTTACTTTTCGCGAGAGGTCCGGTTTGTTCTTAATGCTTAAAACTAAGTGCACTAAATGCACCTTTAGAAATTTAGTTCAAATGAAGCACCTAGGTGCAAGCAGCTGTATGTGCTAAAGATATAAAGTAATATATTTATATACAGGGTGTTAAAAAAAAGTGTCACAAAATGAAATGGTGAATAGTATGACCCAAAATAAGCATTAATAAATATATGACCGCAAATTAACGGTTTCGGAGATACGGACCATTTTGTGTTTATAACAATTTTTTATTATTATAAAAAAAAACAATGATATTTATAAACAATCAATAACAACATAGAGTTAAATGAGATGTTCAAAGAGCCCTCCCTCCATTTCAATGCATTGCCATTTGCACGACCGTACATAAAATGCATGTCAGCTAATTCAATATTAGTGTAAACAGGCATAACGAAAATTTATAAAATTATTCACCCACAACAAAATAATAACTGCAAATAGTATCTATGAAAAAACATCGGTAGACTCCGATAAGAAAAGCAAGTTTTTGAGAATGAAAAAAGATAATCAAAAAATGATACAAAACACAAAACACAAAACACTCCGTATCTCTGAAACCATTCATTTGCGGACATATGTTTATAAAGACTTATCTGCATATTTTGGCCCATACTACCCCCCGTTTTATTTTGTGACACTTTTTTTTTAACACCCTGTATAAATCGTTTATTTAGTCAAAAAAACTATTTTTTATATGTCAATACATCTTCACATTTAAAATATAAAAAATACATAAGTATAGAATCAACATACATTTAAAATACAATAAAAAATTTATAAGATACAGTACACTTACATGTCAACTATACAAAACATAAAAGAAGGTAAATTGGTCAACAAGTACTCACGCAGTTGTCTTTTAAATATTGCAGCGTTTGAAGAACATTTAATATCTTCGGGCAAATTATTAAAAGCCTGTACACCTTTAAAAAAACACTGAATTTTGTGTACATTTTTTCGTGGCCTTATAAACTCTAAAATTTTTCTTATTTCGTGTATTGTGTTCATGAACATCCTGATTATAACTTAAAATATTTTATAAATATACTGGGGAAATTCCTGATTTAATCTTAAATATTCATATATAGTAATGGTGACTGAGTAGACACACGTTTGTGAGAGCTCCTGTTGAATTTCCTAAATCAGTGGTAAATCCTCAGTTAAGTTATATCAAAATAATTAATAACTAAATAGGAAAGTGATTTGCACAATTTGTGATAATTTGCAAGTGAATAAAATACATTTGAAAGGATTTTGATTAACGCAGGTATAGTGGACCATACACAAAGTACTTATAATGGCACCAAAAAACATGAGAAGCAATAGTCAATCTGGAGATGTTACGGATGAAATAGCAATAGAACAACTTATTACTAAGGTATGTCAAAAATTTATCGTAAAGTTAGATGAAAAGCTAGGAGAAAGATTTGATAAACTCGAGTCACAAATGAATGATATCAGTAATAAAATGGCTGAAATAAATAAATCGGTAAATACCAATAAAAAAGACATATGTACACTATATGCTAAGCAGGAAGAAAATGAAATTTTCCATAAACGAAATATGCTACGTTTCGATGGATTACATGAGAAGGAAAATGAAAATTTGTTGCAAATCATCACTAATTTAGTAAACCAGTCAATGAAAGTAAAGTGCACAATAGCAGATATTTCAAATATATATAGAATCGGCAAAGTAAACTCTGACAAAATTCATACAAGAACTATAATTGTAGAATTTATCTCCTTTCTAAAGAGAAATGAAATTCTAAAAGCTAAAGGTACTTTAAAGCAATCAGGCATATTTGTAAATGAAAATTTAACAATCAAACAGTATGATTTATTGAAGAAAGCTAAACATAAATATGGTAGAAAAGAAGTTTGGAGTTGGGCTGGAACTATATTTGCTAAAGTAAATGATGAAGTTAAGAAGATTCAAAACGAGGCTGATATTTGAAGTTCAGAAGCTTCAAAACGAATCGGATTTCATGAAATAGTGTATGGACAGCTTTAGAATAAACCTATTCAAAATTAATAATATAGTTAAAGTGTACATTTTGCGAGAGTATTGTTTTTGCTCCTAAAGACTTCTTGATAAGACGGAGCGTGCTTTGTTGTTTTTTTTTTCTTTTTTCTTTTAGAATTATTTTTATTTAGAATTGGTTAAAAATAACGTCTCGAAATATACTTGGATTTTAATCCTAATAGTATGGTAAATTTTGTCTTTCATATAAAGATTAAATAGAAATTAAAGAATTGTAAATTATTTTATTGTTAGTATCAAGAATTAAAATAGGTTATCAAAATAAATGTAAAAGTAATTCGAACATTTTAACATCTTTGAATTTTTTTATTTTTTGAATTTTAATGCATATGAGAATTTATCACATTGATTATAGGGAGTATTATTTTTTCTTTTACTTTTTAATTATCAGGAGACCTCATAAGATAGGATATAATAAAACATGTCAACTGTATCTATATGTTATCAAAATTGCAGAGGTTTGAACACTAAAATGGTGGAATTTTACACAAACACTTTAGAAGGTAATCACGATATAGTTGTTGTTACCGAATCTTGGCTAAAAGATGGGGTGAGGGATGGAGAATTAGCAGATGTAAATCATTTAAATATATTTAGAGCAGACAGAAATTTGGAAATTACTGGAAAAACACGGGGAGGAGGTGTTCTTATAGGAATTAAAAAGAAATTTAAAATATTAAATGTTGTTGCACATTCTTCTGTATTCGAAGTTTTAGTTTTAGATGTAAAGATTTGTAGAAAAACTATCTGTACTATAATTGGAGTATATATTCCGCCTAATGTTGAATTACATGAATATATAACTTGTTTCCAACTCATACAAAATTACATTAAAGACATCAATAAAACGTTTATTTTTGGGGACTTTAATTTACCGGAAATAAAAGGTATTAATAGTTTGGATGTTATT